GTAATATTTGAATCAATTTTTTTAATTTTATTAAATTGTTATTAAATTTGTTTATTTCTGTGTTTAATTTGATTAGTTTTTCTTATTCTTTTATTCAAATTTCATAGAATCTGATTCCAAACCCATCTAGCTTTAGTGTTACATTCTAAATATAAAGCAGTGTAATATGACACTTATACAATACACCATCTGAATAGATAATAATTGGGCTACAATTTATTGTCTTCGAGAGGTTGATGACAGGATTCTCTTCAACAAATCTTTGAGGTCACATTCTCAAACTTGAAGAAATCTGGCTGATTTCTAGTTGGTCTTAAGACTGTATACACAAAGTTTCATCACTCTCGCTTAATAGTCTCAGTGCGGCGGGGGGGGGGGGGGGGGGTGTCCATCAAATGGGCACTAAACCAGACACAACTTTTCTGGAGTCCAACACTGAAGCTATTGAATTGTTTTTCAGATAACTAGTATCATTATGTATAACAATTGTTGTGAAAATAAATCGGAGAGATTTCGATTTGACAGTTTTTACGTATTTTTGAAACAGGTTTCAAAGTGTATTGGTTCTGTTATGCAAGATCATTTTCGATGTTCCAAAGTAAAAGTTCGGTACTAAGACACCCTAAAGATAAATTTTAAATGTTCCTATTATTAATTAGAACAGGTTTCGCTTTAGTTTTTATATTTTACGTTGACATTTTATGGATTTAAATCTCCCTAGTGCAAAAACGGTAAATTTCACCTTTCGACCTCCAGGGTCACTAAGATCAAAGGTGAATTTAGCAAGTTTACATTTTTATTGAAAGTGTGACTACTTTCGATCATTTTCAGCTTCTTATCATAATACAAGAATGACTACGGATTCATTTTCATTTCAAATGAACTTATTTGACTTTTGACCCCGAATATCTCGAAAACGCCCCAACGGCGGACTGATTACCACTCGGCATCGTATTCTACGCAAACTTTTACTCTGGAAAAGTTGTGTCTGGTTTTGTGCCCATTTGATGGAACCCCCCCCCCCCCCGCTGAGCCTCCGGTCTATAATTAGAACCACAGTTATCGTGCCCCAAATCATCAACCAATCAAATTGCTTATCTCTGTTTAGCCTCAGCAGAATATGCTCATGAAGGCATTCACCTATTAAAAACCTATGGTCCGACAAAAAAAACCCCCAATCAACGTTGACATTTTTCTGAGTAGATCCTCATGCTATGGGACGCAATTAACTGAAGGTAGTCATTTTGCGATAATATTCCAATTCATATTTGGTTTTCAACTTTTGTTATCGACGTATCAACTGTGATTTGGCAATTTATTTCTTTTGACAGGGTCGTGACTTTGTTTCAGATTTTTTTCCAAGATGGTGGCCATTTTTGGTCGGGGAAAATGGGACGATGTGAAAATTTTGATTAAATATTAATATTTCGTGTCGCTATATATGTTGTTGGAATAGCAGATTACATTTCGGGCATTTACAACATTATAAAATGATCACATTTTCACATACTTAGCATATTTCCGGGATGGCTGTCATTTTTAGTAGGAAACGGGACGATGTGCAGATATTGATTAAGTAGTATTGTTTGGTGTCGATATATATATTTTTAGGGGCACAGATTCCATTTCTTACATTTACAACCTGCGCCGTCGTTAGGATTCCGAATAAACCGACACCCATAGTAATAGTGATAGATCACAGGCACTTGAAGGGATTAAAATAAAACTTCTTACTACTGCTTGACTAAATATTATAGTTTATAAACGGTATTTCAGCCGCCATCTTTGTTTACACGTCTCCAAGACATTTCGCCTGCTATCACCTCACAATACTCACTAATTCTAACACTTCAAGTCGTTTTTATTGCCAACGAGACCTTATTTGATCATTATGCAGCTTCCGATGTAATTAAATTGGTCATTTCATAGCGTTATTAATTACAAATCAAACTTGAAGCGCTATCACTGGGCGAAAAGCAACTTCAAGAGACCGGAAATAACACGAAATCAGGTCAAAGGAATTCCCTTTTGTTTTTATTAGTAAGTCTAGATCATCCAGTCACCTCCTTTATTAACATAATCCATTATACGAGATTTTCTTAGGGACTGGGTGATCTAGACAGCACCAAAACAAACCCACGTGTGTTTCAACTCCGGTGAAAATGAAAAAATGTCCCTGGCATAGGCATAACAAACAAAAGAATGGACTGGAAGTGGAAGTCTATACCAGTGTATGGTAACAGTATTCAGAAATGAAAAAGCTGTTCTAAGAAATAATATGAGTTGCTATCTGATAAGGGTGGGAAGGGGGGGGGGACTTTATTTCGGGTACCTTCGTTTTGCAGACTAAAAGGCAAAATATTTTTTTTCTCCAAAAATATATGTTAATTTTTTTATCGCTTTATCTGCTCCACCACTGCTCATGTGGCTTTGCAAGGAACAGAAATAAAATTGTTTAATTATAGATATTTCCTTTATTAGGTATATATAATATATACCTATGTAGGAGTAGTTAGAAGATTCCTAAGAAGCATGTTACATACCAATGACAATATTCAGCTGTCATTCTGACATTCATAATTCGAGGTCAGCTCTGACAGTCAATTTTATTTTTAGTAACACACCTTGACCAATCAAAAATAAGGGCTTCCCCAACGCGACGTCATTGACTGATTTCGTGTTATTTCCGGTCTCTTGAAGTTGCTTGTCGCCAAGTGATAGCGCTTCAAGTTTGATTTGTAATTAATAACGCTGTGAAATGACCAATTTAATTACATCGGAAGCTGCATAATGATCAAATAAAGTCTCGTTGGCAATAAAAACGACGGGAAGTGTTAGAACTAGTGAGTATTGTGAGATGATAAACAAAGATGGCGGCTGAAATACCTTTTATATACTATAATATATAGTCAAGTAGTAGTAAGAAGTTTTATTTTAATCTCTTCAAGTGACTGTGTGATAGATCGATTATGTACTGTGTTCTTCGTTCTGAACGTATACTGAGGAGACATTTTATTATTACCGCTACATTCAAGTTCGTCAGACGCTGCTCTGGTAAACTTCTACAATACCTCTATCATTAACGCCTTGACACATATAACATGTCAAAAAATAAACGCCAAAAATAAAATCGTAAACAAACAACCGTTATTCTGTTTAAACAACGTATTTAATATAAAATTACAACACACCTTTAACACCTGTCTAATGACGTAGGATACAAAACAATATTTTAATGGTACCAAAGTACAGCAATTGATTCTCTGAATTAATATAATTTACATAACATGTCAACATGCCAGATACCAGTAACTGGAATCGTATACTCTCAAGCTCACACTTACACCAGTATATGGGCAGGGGCGTAAATGTGGGGAGGGGGGCAGGAAGAAAAATAGTCGGTCGCAAAATAAGAGCAGTCGGTATCAAAATAAGTGCTCACTGCATACGCCACGCTACTCACGCAAAACTTTAGTATTAAATAACCTTGTCAACTTATCGTGTTTGAAAAAAATGTTGTGTTTCATTCTTATTCTGTTGTGAGTATGTTGGTATATGAACAAAATTTCCCCCAGGGAGAAAAATAGTCGGTCTCAAAATAAGTGCAATCACTGCAGTCGGTCTCAAAATTATGCATCGGCGACTCAATAAATTAATGAGGTAAACAAACAATGCCAGAATAGATCCCAAATACTATGTATTTGCGTGAATCCGTGAGCCTAAATTGCATACGTCACACAAAACTATAGTATAAAATAACCATGTCTGCTTGTCATGTTTGAAAAAATGTTTGTCACTCTTTTTCTGTTGTGAGTATGTTGTTCTATGAAATGTTTCTCCCCGATGGCAAAAAAATAGTCGGTCCCAAAAAAAGTACTCACCGCAGTCGGTCTCAGACTAAATGAATTAATGAGGTAAACAACCATTTACAAAACAGGCGAAATTGACAGATAGGCCACAAGATTCAGTCTCATTTCTTATCCTCTCGTTAGCGAGAATTTGGTTCCATTTGCCAAGACAATGACTTAAATTAAAAGCTCGGTTACATGTCTCAGCACTATCATATTCACGGTTATAGTGAACTGCCCAGTTATACTGGTGTGTGGGTCGTGGGGCGTCAGACTATACAAATGTTATGTCAACTCTTTCAAAGCAGGCGGAATTGACAGGGGCAGATCTCGAGATTCTGTCCCATTGGCTCCCATTTCTGGTCCTCTCGTCCATAAGACTTTCTCTCAGCAATGACCTAAAGTGCTAGGATATTGAATCAATTTTTCCAAAATTTTCCCAGGTTGCTCAGTGTTATAGGCACAATCATCAATATGGCATAAACTTTATGTCAACTTAAATAAAACTGCTTTCCGGCGAGACAACGATCGGCGAACAACTATATAATTATACAATACTGTCTATGTTCTACTAGGACGCTTAATGTTATAGCCAATATTTTGTTGACATTCATTGTGGGCTGGGATTGTGGATGGCGCCCTAGATTTGGAACCACCCCCACCCCACCCCTTATTCCCCTGCACATGGCCCCTAGAAAACTCGCACATGTGGTGCGCGACTCCTGACTGCGTCACTCGTCGTACTTGGGGTATGTGCATCAGTCGGTCGCATTTTGGCTAAACACCCCCCCCCCGCCCCAAACAAAATCGTTATGTACGCCCCTGGATATGGGTCCGGCTTCTACTCATCTTGTTGACGCTCTTCGAAAAAAGTCGGCTTCAAAGCCTAGCTTTGCGACAAACTTTCATCAGCATCCCAGATCAATTTTTGAGCCAAGCGAAGGAGTTGAACTTGATTCAACGTCTTTGCTGCGCTCAACACAGCGCAGCCAGTCAGCAACAATGCGTCAGGGTGAACTATAAAATGGATTTTTTAGAAAGCGATATGTAATTCAGGATGTCTGGATGGGATTGGCTAAAAGGCTCAGCCTATGTAAAATCCATCTTCCTAAATACTATTTAAACATAATATTAATACGTAAAGCCAAAGGGGTGTATATACATAGTTAAAAAGTCATTTCAATATAATAATAGGGATAAAGCTGTGATTTATAGCCTTAATTTTCCTTCATCCCTAATTCCATGTAGACACTAAAGTAGTAAAGACATAAATGATATTTCCTTGAACCACTTCTTGCTTGCAGGTTGCTTAGAGATATATACAGAAGTAGGCATCCATACGCGAAGGTTTTGCAGATGTGGTCTAATTTCAAAAGAAACGCTAAACGACATTTCATCCCGTATTGCTTGGGTTAACTGGGTATTCATCAATTGGAAATTCTCAGTTAGGGTTAGGTAACCCTTGTGGTTTCCTACACGGCGTACCAGAAATTACGACCCCCTCATCCGCCCTGAATATAAACATACACGCAAAACATCAAATATTTCACAAAAAGCACAAACATCACATGGTTTTATAGAACAAAAAAAGCACAAACATCAAAAGGTTTTAAACAAAAAGCACAAACATCAAAAAGTTTTAAACAAAAAGCACAAACATCAAAAATTTTAAACAAAAAGTACAAACATGCATCAATACCTTACGGATAAGTAAATATTTACACATAACTGATGATTTTTAAGTTAAAAAAGGAAGATCTACTTATTAATCGTCTGCAAATCATTACATTTAAATAATACAGCTGTGTGACACAGAGAAACACTGGTACACCACGCTCGACAACCAGACCAAACTGTCATTGTGCGGTTATGGCGGATTTCATAGGTGGGGTTAAAGGGAAATAACTATCATTAAAATCATACACTTTATTATTATTTTTTTATGTCTATTTGTAATACATGTATTTACAGAGACGTCAGTGTCATTGAAAGCACAAAATTATAGCAACACCCAAGGTCGGGTGAAACGTGGGATTTACGTGCTGCAGCCCAGTGGCCTCTGGTCATAAAGTTACGTAAGGATAGACGCTTTTAATCTTTCCCAAAATATACCTTCTACGTCACCGTTCCAAGTGATGTAAGTTGTAGTTTTTAACAGAGCATGTAATGATTTACTCATATTAATGGCCTCTATCTCTTCTAGAAATACTACAACTATTGACTCAATACTCATATCTAAAACCAAATTCTGGGCTAAACTTATTTCAAATTGGCACCACTGACTTCTAGCAAATTCATTTGACAAAATGATTAAGATTTTCCGACTGTTTTCCATGTGTTGAATAATATTATCAATGATTAGTTTTCCACCCAGAAAATCTCTTTCATGGATACATAGTTTGACGTGGGCATCCTCTTCTAAGTTATGAACAAGATTGTCAAATACCCAATTGCTGTTTTCAACACAGTACGACACAAAAACATCGTAAACAAATTGTTTTTCTGCAATATGCATTAACTGTTTTTGTCTGTATCTCCAAATGTAAATATGGTATTTAATATGCCATCTATATTTATACACAAATGATGCCGATACAATTACTAAAAGTAAAACACATATGACAATTGTTACAACAGTGTAGGTCTCTGAATTATTCAGACAAACCTTCTCGGTTATATTAAGGCATCTGTAACGTTTCGGATAACCAAGAAACTTCTGATGTTCGCTACGCATCCATTGAATAAACCAATATATGTCACAGTTACAAATAAACGTCTTATTGTCAAGTCTAATCGTTTTAAGACTGTTTCTTAGTTGTACAGGAAACATTCCTCGTGTAACTGTTTGAATAACATTTAGTTCTAAGTTTATGTCTGATAACTGTGTGTTGTTCTTAAAGAAATTCGCTGGCCAGGATTTTATTTTATTAAATTTGACATCCAAGTATTTTAATTTGTGAAGTTTCTCTCCAATAACCTTTGGCAGGGAAAACAGGCTATTATCCCCCAAGCCTAATGTCTCCAAAGACGTTAATGGGGAAAGGGCTTTATTTAAAATATCAATATCGCTGCCGAGAAAATTTGACATTAATCTCAATATTTGTAGATTGACACAACCATCAAATGCTTGTGGCGATAAGTGTGAAGATGACAAGATATTCCCGGTAAGATATAATTCTTTCAAATGACTGTTGTTGAAAGCCCTTTCTTGTATTGTGAAAGGTGGTCTTGGGTTTCTTTGTTCAAGCAACGACAGGTATCTTAGCGACGGTAAGTAATGGAAGTCGTCCGTTTTAAAGATTCCAATACCGTTGGCTGACAAATCTAAATAATCCAACTTCTTCATACAATTAATATGATCGGGAATAACATTATCGATTTTATTGTGTTGGAGTTTCAAATTAGTTAAATTAGGGTAAAATATTCGAGGACCACAGAAGTTTGGTAAATCTCTCAAGTTGTTGTTACCAAGATACAGCTTTTCAAGATATTGGTTGAAATCTAAGGTGACAGAAGATATTTTGTTGCCGAATAAGTTAAGTATTTGTAATTTTTTGTTTTGTTTTAAAATTGAGTAATTAAATTTTGTTATATTGTTCCAAGATAAATCAAGTCTATGCAGTGTACTAATATTTTGGAACGCATTTTCTTCAATCGTTTTAATAAAATTCGATTTAAAAAATAACAACTTTATGGCTGCATTGCTAATGTTCGACAATGTAGTCACATTAATATATGGTAGATAGTTTCTTTCAAAACGAAGTTCAATATTTGTTACAGGTATTTCAGGAATGTATGTAAGATTTAGCCCAACACAGAAAGTGGTGCGTTGTCTAAATCTGCAACTTTTTGATGAAACAGTATTTCTCGTATCGGTTGATGCTAAGAATAGAAGAATACTTATAATAACTAGGGTCATCATTGTCTGTTTTGTCATAATTTCAATACGGCTCGTGTAGTCAGAACTTGAACCCTGGAGAGAAAAATAATATAATTTAATTACACTAACAAATATTTCACCATTAACACTAATAACAGTTTACAATTTCCTGAATATACGTAACAGAATCATAGGCCTAGTAATAATGGCTTTAGTTATAACTAACAAAATGTCAGGCATTGAACCAGTACATTATATCTTGATCCCGGTGCTGGACATCTATTATAATTATAATTAAAACCCCACATGGAAGACAGATCTATGCTAGAGAAAGGGACAGACACAGACTGTGCCTGACGAGGATTGAATCTGTACACGAGTCTGTGACAAGTGTTGTTGTTGTTCTTAGTGTTTAACGTCCGCTTCCACCGAAGGTGATATCGCAGGCCTTTCCTGTGGGAGGATACCGGAGTACCAGGAGTAAACCCACGAGATTGAGAAGGCGCCCCTATCTCCAAGCCACCACATACGCTCACACCAGGAATCGAAACCACAGCCGCAAGCCAGGGGTGACCAGCCAGCTAGAGGTCGAAGCGCGGCACTCTAGACCACTAGGCCACCCCAATCCCCAACCCCCAATTCCAACAGGTGCCTTATTTCCGGGCTAAATTGTAGGATATAATTGGCAGCCATATTTTACTCATAGCTTCTTGGCTAATAATTAATAGAAAATACAATGCCTGAGTTGGTGCTGATTTCTTTCATGTAGCTATGGTTTCGATATCTTTTTGACAACATAAATATGTATTAAACATTATTATATATATAGTTAGCTACATTTATGATCAGCTCGTTGTCATGCAATTTAACAGGTCAGCTGTGTCAGCTGTGAACTTAGTTACTAATTATAGATGCATTGGGTACGAGATAAATCTGCCTATTGTAGGTCATTATTTTTGCTTCAAAGGTTATGTTAACTATTATTTAGACATTAAGCCACGAGCCAAGCCTATAATCAAAACTCAAAATCACCGGATGGCGGATATTTAAATAGACTAAAACACGGTTGGGTTGCCATTTAATGATTTACTTTAAAAATGGCGAAACGAGGCTATGCATCCTTATTACAATAATAAATAATCTATGACACACCCTGTCAAATCTTAAAACGGTGATAGCTCTGCTCAGAATAAGTAATTTGAATGAAATTTTCAATATATTCATTTAGCATTATCTATATCTTTAAGATATTAAAACTGCTTAATCCTCCATGAAAAGCCTTAAAACGTATATTATACTAGGCGCGTAGATCTATCTGAATCTCTGGGGTTGATCAGTTGTATCTTGATTGGCGCAAAGTTTCCAGACTGATTGAAAATATAAGCTTGTCCAGATAGCCATTAAAATAGTTTGACGACCATTATGTTTAACATTTTGAGCTGAATCTGTCAAACATAGTCCATATATTTATATGGATATCACATTACAATCAGAATTGAAATTGTATACAAGATAGATATCACATTACAATCAGAATTGAAATTGTATACAAGATAGATAAAGCAACGACTAGAGTTCTCCTTAAACCCCAATAATGCAGTAGAAAACAGTTGGCGACCTTTACATTGTGTGAAATAGCTTTATTTAACTTCCGTATTCATCCCAGGCAAACGACCTTTACAAAAACCCAGCCCTTTATATATTGATATTATTAGACACGTCGTGCAAAGAGTGGAGCATAGGGGGTGACCACCCCATGCATCCATTTCAGAGGGGCGTCCTACCAGCTACCAAAGAGGAAGATGAAATTAAGTTTCTTTTTTAAATTATCGCAATTAACATGGTTGTACACCCTGCCCTCCTACTTAATTTAAATAAAAAGTTTGATTCTGATATTTTAAAATGTCCTCAGAGTACCGGGCCCTATACTTGTAACTTGAGTCCGAGGGGTGATGGTGGTGGGGGGAGGGGGGTACAATCAATGAGTTTGCCTCGGGCATCACTAAACCTTTGAACGCCACTGATCCCAACAATTTGATTTATCACACATTTTACACACAATTTAACGTGAGTATTCCAGAATGAACAGAATGTCAAATATTTAAAGGGCGTATAGCTCTATTCTTTGGAACTGAAACTTGCTCTAAAAGCACATGTTAATGTAATATTAGTGTATATAATGATTTACATTCAGATTAAAAAAGAAAACTAATTTCTAATTCATCATGTTCGATAAAATACGCAAACAGTCCAAATTAGCTCAAAATAATGTAATTTGAATGAAATTTTCAATATTCATTTTCCATTATCTCTTTTTTAAATATTGTAGCGAGATCGGCCAGCTCTTTAAAACACCACAGATCGGCAATACTCGACACAGTAACGTAGTCTCTTCATAATTCTTGTTTACTGATATAATTTGAAATAATGTTAATTAATCACGGTTAATTAGAACTCATCCAAACTTGTCCAATTTGCTTGCAGCTTCATTAGGTTTATTATTTGGAGAGAGAGAGAGAGAGAGAGAGATGGGGTTTAACGTCCACTCGACACAAACTAGGTCATCTCGGTACTAACATATGGTTTAATTTTATTTCAATAATTCACTTGCGCGTAGGGGTCTTTAGCAGTGGGAGGAAACCGGAGTACCCAGGGAAAACCCACGAGGGTGGACAGGCGACCCTACTCCTTGTCACGTACATCCGGGGATTCGAAACCACGCCAGTTGACTCAATGACAGGCCGTATGATACAGCACGCACGTGCTAACCATTCGGCCCCCCCCCCCCTCAAAGCATCGACCAATGAAATTGCTTCGCTCTGCTTAGCTTTAACGGAAAAAGTGAATCATTGAACCCAGTCAAGACATTCACCTAATGCACATCTACACCACGTTTATAAATTCTACAACCATTTAAAGCAGAGTTGTTATTTCCGATCATTGACCGATCATCAATACTTAAATTTAGGGATAAAATGTTTATTCCCTTCTATAATGGACTTAATCCTGTTATTTTACGGAATAAACGGTGGAATGACAAGGAAGTTCCGTGAAATTTAGGGATAAAATGTTTTATTCCGTTCTGTAATGGACTTAATTCTGTTATTTTATGGGATAAGCGGTACAACGATAAGTAATCGTATACATATATAATCATTTATAATAATGATCATTATAGTATTCATTTCAATGGATTAACCATAATATGAAGAATCATATTTTGTAACGTTTGGTATATTAATTGAAATGTATATCTAATTTCCATTATTTATAAGATCTATAAAGTGTATTGTTATTCATCATACGGAAATCAGATTGTAAGTATTTTCATAAATATGTAAAAATATGTTTTAATGCGTCGTGTGTTAAGGTTGCAATATCTGGTAATCAAGCAGGCTTAAATCCAGATAGTACAACCCGTTGGCCAGTGTAAGTAAGTCAGGTTGTCTCTATAGCAGAGTCTACCACTGAAAGCCTCTGACGAGTGGCGTGTTGTGATACCTTGCTCTCGATTCAGAAATTAGCGAGAAGAGGTTATGTTTAAAGATTATCTGCGATATCAGTTCGGTGGAAGCGGACGTTAGATAAAGCTATTTGACGCACGGGTATAAAGTCAATGGTTAATTCAATGAAATTTTTATCATCGTCATGCTCAGGAAAGAAAATTTACCAGGATTTTTTTTTCTGAATTTGAAAATGGAATTTATGTTAATCGAAGGAATTTCTGTAAATTACAGGAAAAACAAATACGGATAAAATTTTCCTGGTAATTTTTGTTTCCGGAATTTTTTACGTTTTTTCACGGAAATTATTGTTACAGTGTAGGTTTCGTCACTCTCACTCAATCAGAATCAAAGTTATCGAGCTCCAAGGTCTCGACCAATCAAATTGCTTATCGCTCTGCTAACCCGGAACCGAAAATGTTCATTATCGCATTTCGTCGAGGTATTAATATAATGAAACTATACACAAAGTTTCATCAGTCTCGCATAAGTAGAACCACAGTTATCGTGTCCAAAAACATCAACCAATCAAATTGCATATCTCTGCTTAACCTCCACAGACTATGCCCATCAAGTCATTCACTTATTAAAAACCTATAGCCCTATCTTTAATGTAAATCCGTCGACTTTTCAGGTAGAAACCGTGGAACAAGCTTTATTTTATAGGGTTTGATATGACAAAATAACAATGTTCACATTTTTTCTGTGTAGGTCTTCATTATGGGACGCCATTAATTGAAGGTATGCATTTTGCGATACTAACACAATTCACATTTTGTTTTCAACTTTTTGTTATCAAAGTATCAGCTGTGATTTGGCACTTTATTTCTATTGACAGGGGTCATGACTTTATATCAGATTTTTTCCATCACTTCATGAAGATATTTCCAAGATGGCGTCCATTTTTGGTGGGGAAAATGAGAGGATGTGAAAATTTTGATTAAGTATTAGTGTTTGGTGTCGATATGTATGTTTTCTGGGTCACAGATTCCATTTCTGGCATTTACAACATTATAAAATGATCACATACCTAGCATATTTCCGGGATGGCTGTCATATTTGGTGGGAAACGGGACGATGTGCAGATATTGATTAAGTAGTAGTGTTTGGTGTCGATATATATATTTTTAAGGGCACGGATTCCATTTCTTACATTTACAACCTGCGCCGTCGTTAGGATTCCGAATAAACCGACACCCATAGTAATATAGTAATTGTGATAGATCGATTATGTACTGTGTTCTTCGTTCTGAACGTATACTGAGGAGACATTTTATTATTACCGCTACATTCAAGTTCGTCAGACGCTGCTCTGGTAAACTTCTACAACACCTCTATCATTAACGCCTTGACACATATAACATGTCAAACAATACACACCAAAAATAAAATCGTTAACAAACAACCGTTATTCTGTTTAAACAACGTATTTAATATAAAATTACACCCCTGACACCTGTCTAATGACGTAGGATACAAAACAACATTTTAATGGTACCAAACTACTGCAAGTCATTCTATGAATTAATATAATTTACATAACATGTCAGCATGCCAGATATCAGTAACTGGAATCTTATACTCTCAAGCTCACACTTGCACCAGGGTATGGGCCCCGGCTTCTACTCATCTTGTTGACGCTCTTTGAAAAAAAGTAGGCTTCAAAGCCTAGCTTTGCGGCAAACTTTCAGCATCCCAGATCAATTTTCGAGCGAAGCGAGTGAGTTTAACTTGATTCATACCGAATTCATTTCCATACCGAATACTCATTATATATCGGGAATTTTCCCTCTTATTTCAAAAGAAACGCTAAAAGACATTTTATCCCGTATTGCTTGGTAATTTAACCGGATATATGCCTCCATCTATGCGTGGGTTAACTGGGTATTCATCAATTGGGAATTCTCGGTTAGGGTTTGGTAACCCTTGTGGTTTCTTACACGGCGAACCGGAAATTACGACCCCCTCATTCGCCCTGAATATAAAAACACACGCAAACGTCAAATAGTTTCACAAAAAGCACAAACATCACATGGTTTTATAGTACAAAAAAAGCACAAACATCAAAAAGGTTTAAACAAAAAGCACAAACATCAAAAAGTTTTAAACAAAAAGAACAAACATCAAAAAGTTTTAAACAAAAAACATCAAAAAGTTTTAAACAAAAAGTACAAACATGCATCAATACCTTACGGATAAGTAAATATTTACACATAGCTGATGATTTTTAAGTTAAAAAAAGGAAGGTCTACTTATTAATCGCCTGCAAATCATTACATTTAAATAATACAGCTGTGTGACAAAGAGGAACACTGGTACACCACGCTCGCCAACCAGACCAAACTGTCATAGTGCGGTTATGGCGGATTTCATAGGTGGGGTTAAAGGGAAATAACTATCATTAAAATCATACACTTTATTAGTTTTTTTTGTATGTCTATTTGAAATATTTACAAACACGTCAGTGTCATTGAAAGCACAAAATTATAGCAACACCCAAAGTCGGGTGAAGACATGGGATTTACGTGCTGCAGCACAGTGGTCTCTGGTCATAAAGTTACGTAAGGATAGACGCTTTTAGTCTTTCCCAAAATACACCGTTCCAAGTGATGTAAGTTGTAGTTTTTAACAGAGCATGTAATGATTTACTCATATTAATGGCCTCTATCTCTTCTACAAATACTACAACTATTGACTCAATACTCATATCTAAAACCAAATTCTGGGCTAAACTCATTTCAAATTGGCACCACTGACGTCTAGCAAATTCATTTGATAAAATGATTAAGATTTTCCGACTGTTTTCCATGTGTTGAATAATATTATCAATGATTAGTTTTCCACCCAGAAAATCTCTTTCATGGATACATAGTTTGACGTGGGCATCCTCTTCTAAGTGATGAACAAGATTGTCAAATACCCAATTGCTGTTTTCAACACAGTACGACACAAAAACATCGTAAACAAATTGTTTTTCTGCAATATGCATTAACTGTATTTGTCTGTATCTCCAAATGTAAATATGGTATTTAATATGCCATCTATATTTATACACAAATGATGCCGATACAATTACTAAAAGTAAAACACATATGACAATTGTTACAACATTGTAGGTCTCTGAATTATTCAGACATATCTTCTCTGTTATATTAAGACATCTGTAACCTTTTGGATAATCAACAAACTTATGTTTCTCGCTACGAATTCATTGAATAAACCAATATATGTCACAGTTACAAATAAACGGGTTATTGTCAAGTCTAATCGTTTTAAGACTGTTTCTTAGTTGTACAGGAAACATTCCGCGTGTAACTGTTTGAATAACATTTAGTTTTAAGTTTATCTCGGATAACTGTGTGTTGTTCTTAAAGAAATTCACTGGCCAGGATTTTATTTTATTAAATTTGACATCCAATATTTTTAATTTATGAAGTTTCTCTCCAATAACCTTTGGCAGGGAAAACAGACTATTAGCCCCCAAGCCTAATGTCTCCAAAGACGTTAATGAAGAAAGAGCTTTATTTAAAATATCAATATCGCTGCCGAGAAAATTTGACATTAATCTCAATATTTTTAGATTGACACAACCATCAAATGCTTGTGGCGATAAGTGTGAAGATGACAAGATATTCCCGGTAAGATATAATTCTTTCAAATGACTGTTGTTGAAAGCCCTTTCTTGTATTGTGAAAGGTGGTCTTGGGTTTCTTTGTTCAAGCAACGACAGGTATCTTAGCGACGGTAAGTAATGGAAGTCGTCCGTTTTAAAGATTCCAATACCGTTGGCTGACAAATCTAAATTATTCAATTTTTTCATACAATTAATATAATCGGGAATAAAATTATCGATGGCATTATGTTGGAGTTGCAAATAAGTTAAACTAGGGTAAAAGACTCGAGGATCACAGAAGTTTGGTAAATCTCTCAAGCTGTTGAAACCAAGAGACAGCTTTTCTAGATATTGGTTGAAATCTAAGGTGACAAAAGATATTTGGTTTCCGTTTAAGTTCAGTATTTGTAATTTTTTGTTTTGTTTTAAAATTGAGTAAATAAATTTTGTTAAATTGTTCCAAGATAAATCAAGTCTATGCAGTGTACTAATATTTTGGAACGCATCTTCTTCAATCGTTTCAATATCATTCGACTTAAAGTATAAGGACTTTATGGCTGCATTGCTAATATTCGACAATGTAGTCACATTAATATATGGTAAATAGTTTTTTTCAAAACTAAGTAGAATATTTGTTACAGGTATTTCAGGAATGTATGTAAGATTTAGCCCAACACAAGAGGTGTATAATTTTCTAAATGTGCACCTTTTTGATGAACCAGTATTTTTCGTATCGGTTGATGCTAAGAATAGAAGAGTACTTATAATAACTAGGGTCATCATTGTCTGTTTTGTCATAATTTCAATATGGCTCGTGTGCCTGTTTAACAGGGTGTAGTCAAAAGACAAAACATATAATTTAATTACGCTAACAAATATTACACCATTAACAGTAGTGCCTGCTCATATACTTAACAGAAATGAAATGAATTGAGGTTTAACGTCTTACTGTTTAAAGGCCTAGAAATAATGGTTTTAGTTATACCTGACAAAATGTCAGGCATTTAGAACCAGTACCGGGTACTTAGAACCCTGTATCGAACCCCAGACGAAAGACAGATCTATGCTATACAAAAGGACGGACAGAGATTGTTCTGGACAAAGATTGAATTTGTACATGACAATGTCTGTGACAGGTGCCTTATTTCCAGGATAAATTGTAGGATATAATTGGCAATCATATTTTAATCATGGCTTCTTGGCTAATAATTAATAGAAACTACAAGGCCTGATTTGGTGTTGTCTATGGCTTCGATATCTACGTCAAAAGATAAATATTCATTAAATATTATTATAGTAAGCTACGTCTTCAACAGTGATCAGCCCATTCCCAGGCAATGAACAGGTCAGTGGTGTGCTTAGTTGTTTACTAAAGGCAGATTAATATAGATGTATCACCAGTTTCACCACCGATATCTTTAAGATAATAAAACTGGTTAATCATGCAGGAAACGCCTTAAAACGTATAATAGTATACAAGGCGCACAGAACTATCTGGAGCTCTGGGGTTTATCAGTTTTATCTCGATTAGCGAAAAGTCTCAGACGATTGAAAATATAAGCTTGTCCTGATAGCCATTAAAGGAGTTTGGCGACCATAATGTTTAGTATTTTGAGCTGAATCTGTCAAACAAAGTCTATAATATATTTATAAATTAGAGTTGCATACCAAAGGTAAGGATTCCAAAATAGCCTTAGAATTGGGATGGTGATGTTTTCATATTGCAGTTTAGTAGGGACGAACAGGAACGGCGAGAGGACATGACCCGATCAGAGACCGTTCCTAAAGGAAATTTATTTAGTATGAAATGGAATGATGTTTATTTCACACATAAGGTTGATTCGTATGTGTGCGCTTCCAAAATATATATTTAATAACTAGTGCCCGAGAACTAATCTTAAATCGATAAAATAATGAATTCCTACCTGTACAGTGACGAAATTAAAAGAAGTTTTGCGATTTAGCTCTCTTTTCTTGTCTTTGCACTGTCACAATATTTTCATCCGTTCCAATATTATTACCGCCTAGAAGGGGATAATAATAACGAAATACATCAACCTATCAGGGGGTAAACGGGAACCCATTTTTACCGTTCGGTGAATTTCATACCTCCACCACGAACACTTAGTTTCATATGTCATGTGTCATCATTAAGACGATATTTCAATTTAATGGGAACGGAAATATTACACAAGGAAGTTTTATTATCAACTAGCGGATTACTCATAATCCACAGTAACAATAACATGCTCTAACATCTCGTGACCATATGACGAACTCTGCAGGTGACCTTAATATTTCGATTGGATCGCGCTGCACGGGTTGAAAGTAGTATAACTCCGAAACGGGAAGCGGTAGGCCAACGCCACCTAGCCTTGGCTACTACTCGGTCGGTCGGACCTACCCCCTAATCAAGCCTCGGGACAGTTGCCGCCAACCATGACGAGAAAACAGACAAACAAACGACAGTCGCAGATATTAGAATAGATAATAGGCGAGACTATTAATGAAGTAATTATTATGATTTATTTTTTATGGTACATCATTTGATTAGAGAATTTAAGAGAATTATTCTCTTACAATGCACACTATGATAACATCAAACTCTTTGCCAAAAGCCATGTTTAAATTCTAGTTTCCAATTTATATTCTGTCGGAAAAACATACTAATGATTACATAAAGTGTCGATGGAACCGAATATAAAATGGATGTCGTTGTTTTCGGAGCCTTAACTCTCTTTTCACTACATTGTTGCTTTAAAAGGACGGACAGAGATTGTTCTGGACAAAGATTGAATTTGTACATGACAATGTCTGTGACAGGTGCCTTATTTCCAGGATAAATTGTAGGATATAATTGGCAATCATATTTTAATCATGGCTTCTTGGCTAATAATTAATAGAAACTACAAGGCCTGATTTGGTGTTGTCTATGGCTTCGATATCTACGTCAAAAGATAAATATTCATTAAATATTATTATAGTAAGCTACGTCTTCAACAGTGATCAGCCCATTCCCAGGCAATGAACAGGTCAGTGGTGTGCTTAGTTGTTTACTAAAGGCAGATTAATATAGATGTATCACCAGTTTCACCACTGATATCTTTAAGATAATAAAACTGGTTAATCATGCAGGAAACGCCTTAAAACGTATAATAGTATACAAGGCGCACAGAACTATCTGGAGCTCTGGGGTTTATCAGTTTTATCTCGATTAGCGAAAAGTCTCAGACGATTGAAAATATAAGCTTGTCCTGATAGCCATTAAAGGAGTTTGGCGACCATAATGTTTAGTATTTTGAGCTGAATCTGTCAAACAAAGTCTATAATATATTTATAAATTAGAGTTGCATACCAAAGGTAAGGATTCCAAAATAGCCTTAGAATTGGGATGGTGATGTTTTCATATTGCAGTTTAGTAGGGACGAACAGGAACGGCGAGAGGACATGACCCGATCAGAGACCGTTCCTAAAGGAAATTTATTTAGTATGAAATGGAATGATGTTTATTTCACACATAAGGTTGATTCGTATGTGTGCGCTTCCAAAATATATATTTAATAACTAGTGCCCGAGAACTAATCTTAAATCGATAAAATAATGAATTCCTACCTGTACAGTGACGAAATTAAAAGAAGTTTCGCGATTTAGCTCTCTTTTCTTGTCTTTGCACTGTCACAATAATTTCATCCGTTCCAATATTATTACCGCCTAGAAGGGGATAATAATAACGAAATACATCAACCTATCAGGGGGTAAACGGGAACCCATTTTTACCGTTCGGTGAATTTCATACCTCCACCACGAACACTTAGTTTCATATGTCATGTGTCAATATTAAGACGATATTTCAATTTAATGGGAACGGAAATATTACACAAGGAAGTTTTATTATCAACTAGCGGATTACTCATAATCCACAGTAACAATAACATGCTCTAACATCTCGTGACCATATGACGAACTCTGCAGGTGACCTTAATATTTCGATTGGATCGCGCTGCACGGGTTGAAAGTAGTATAACTCCGAAACGGGAAGCGGTAGGCCAACGCCACCTAGCCTTGGCTACTACTCGGTCGGTCGGACCTACCCCCTAATCAAGCCTCGGGACAGTTGCCGCCAACCATGACGAGAAAACAGACAAACAAACGACAGTCGCAGATATTAGAATAGATAATAGGCGAGACTATTAATGAAGTAATTATTATGATTTATTTTTTATGGTACATCATTTGATTAGAGAATTTAAGAGAAATATTCTCTTACAATGCACACTATGATAACATCAAACTCTTTGCCAAAAGCCGTGTTTAAATTCTAGTTTCCAATTTATATTCTGTCGGAAAAACATACTAATGATTACATAAAGTGTCGATGGAACCGAATATAAAATGGATGTCGTTGTTTTCGGAGCCTTAACTCTCTTTTCACTACATTGTTGCTTTAAAAAAAAATCAATGAAATTAAATGGATTTTAATGTCCCACTTTTCTGCACCAACCGGGGTGATGAAAAAAAGGCCGAAGCCATGGGAATTCGTTTTGTCTACTCTTTATCTAATTGCTTTAAACACATTTTATTACCATAAAGTAAAAGGATTAGACAAATGTTATATAAACTTACAAGCACAACCTTTACTTTATAAGTACTTGGATTTATTCATGATAACAAAAGGTCCAAAATAAAGTGTATTTAGACGGTACTGAGGAATAAGTCTCAACATTGACGAAGATGATCCAAAGAAAAATATCTGAGAATTATTCCAGTGAGTGCATAAATCTTGAAATTTTAACCCCATTTGCAACTACCTTACACGGCAAAAATATCGAAAAGTTTCAAGAACTGTTGTTGCGAAGTTATTTCAAGCTTAAAGGTATTTCCAAATGGTAACTTAGGATAATAGCGGGTGTAGATAACAATGCACCTAGAACAAATTGCAACAGAAATCATTTCTTTGGAAACTGTTCAGGTATGGTCTCTAGTACTTCCATAACAAAAGCGGCCATTATCGGTCTTGGGGAAATTTGCATAATTAACGTAAATCCAAGATGGCCGCGGGTGGACCAGAAAAACGCTAAAATCTCCGAATCGCTTGACTTTAGTGTAATTAAATGTATTAACGACCTATAGGAAATCGATACGCGCGAGTTAAATACATTTTTTACCTACGACTTTATTATGGCGTCGTAACGTCATTTTGATGGAATTAAGTCGTTCTCCTTGTGACGTCATTATCAAGTTGTATTGTAACTGCGCTCGGAAAACTGTTAGAAACCACGAACCGCTGTACAATTTCTATAAAAGAACACATCTTCTCCTAAACTGAAACTGTACATCACCGTTCATCTATAGCTGGTGACATGTGAATGCAACGACAACAGCCTGATTGATTGATTTGTTGATTGAAGTTCAGATGTCTTCATTATAATGGACCACTTTCAGGCTGCTGTCTTCACGTCCTGAACTACGTAGCAAGAAAACGCGTTTTCCGGCTTGCAATTTTCGTCAATTTTGTGGGAGAGACAGGCCTCAACAAATCCCCCGACGGCGTGTTTCACGACTTCTGCACTCGACAGTGACCTTTAATTTTATGTGTGACAATCCTATTTGAAATTAAGTTTTGAACCCAATATGGAATTCAGTAACACGATTCAAAAAAAGTAGGGGATATTTGATTTTTAAGTGTTATTAAAGTCACCTAATGAAACTGACGAAGAAACAAATGACAAAATGAAATGAAGTTCACATTCATCGATTTATTCCAAATGATCGTTAGACTAAGTAAGGCACAGACTGACCATTATAAGGGTAAAATGATACCCGGGGTCAAACAGCAAAGTTACCACAGCATCACAACCAAGTCAGTAACGGGTAAATCCTCCTCTGTTTGCCAAACAAGCATTGATCCGACGTGGCATACTCCTAATAAGACGTCTAAGGTCATTTTGGTCCAGATTGTCCCATTCCTGTTGCAACGCAGCAGCAAGTTCTTGGACATTGGCAGGACGTTGTTGACGTTGACGTAACCTCTGTCCAAGCATGTCCCAGACATGCTCGATGGGGGAGAGGTCGGGACTCAGTGCTGGCCAAGGTAATGTGGTGATGTTCTGTTGTTGGAGGTAACCTGTAACGATCCTGGAAGATGAAACGGCGGCCATGACGTCGTGCGAACGGCACAACATGGACTGCCAAGATGTTGTCCCGGTAGTACTGGCCTGTAACACGCCCTGCAACAACATGTAAAGCCGTTCTTCCAGCAACAGTGATGCCTCCCCACACCATAACAGAACCACCCCCAAATCGATCATGTCTGATGACGTTAACGTCTTGGAAGCGCTCGTTTCGACGACGCCACACCCTCCTACGTCTGTCCAAAAAATCAACAGTGAACCTTGACTCATCTGAAAACATCACATTGCTCCAGCGTCGATTATCCCAGTGTTGACGATCCCTACACCAACGACGTCTTGCCTGAATGTGATGATCTCTCAAACAAGGGATCACGCGAGGACGTCGGGCGCGAAGGTGACCCCTATGCAGTCGATTCCGAATCGTCTGGCCACTCACTCTCACACCAGTGTCTGTTTGAAGACGAGCGCTGATCTGATTTTCTGTGATGACACGATTTCTCAAGGCCAAGGTACGGATAAATCGATCCTGGGCTTGAGTTGTCGACCTGAGCGTGGTCTGTCCTGTACAGATTGTGTATCACGGTATCTGGACCATAGCCTGCTTATGACAGACTGAGAAACATTCATCGTCCGCGCCACAACCGCCTGTGTTGTGCCGATCTGTAGCATGCCAAGGGCACGTAACCTTTCATTTTGGGTAAGCCGACGCATATCAAAATTTGTTTTCTGGTCACTAAAACAATTAAACTGATGTTTCCACCCTGGAATTCAATGCCACAATGACTGTAACATTCAAAGTCAGAGTCGTGCAAATCTTGGGTTGGACCCCCATGATGATCCCAAGCATCACCTGCATTCCATGCGGTAGCTATTGGTGCGTTTGGGCGTCACATGTAACTGGAAATGTTTCTTCTGTTAGGTTCTATAGTGACTTTTTTCGTAGTCATTTGCATATTTTAGTATTATGCCCCCAAAATCAAAT